TTCCTTCCTTCCTTCCTTCCTTCCTTCCTTCCTTCCTTCCTTCCTTCTTTCTTTCTTGTTTTGAGACAGGGTTTTTCTGTGTAGTCCTGGCTGTCCTGGAACTCACTCTGTAGACCAAGCTGGCCTCCCAAGTGCTGGGATTAAAAGCATGTTCCATCATTGTCCAGCCATATTTCTTCATTTGCAGCAAGATGACAAAATATTTCTAATTTGTTCAGAAATGATGAAAAACAAATCAACACAATTTGATTTAGAACAAGAACATACTATCCAATCTTCTTGCATTAAGATATCTTCTAGATTTAAACACACACATACACACACACACACACACACACACGTGTAGTGTGTATTAAATGTGAATCTTCATGGCCACTCTATAATATCAATAAAAAAACTAGGATCTAGCCTAATTGAATCATGGATTTCCCTGAAGCAGGAGGTTTTCTGCATCAGTCTGGATGCAGGCTCATCAAAATGTTTTCTCAGGTACTTGTCATGGTAACAAATAGTTAACACAGGACAAGAAAAGACTAGGTGTGATGGCCGATCCTGTCACCTTGACGAGATCTGATATCAGTATTAGACACTCGTTTGGCCAGTTCTACTAGTGTAGACCTTTCTTAAAATGATCAACTGAAGAAGACCCTTCCCCGGGGGGCGGGGGAAGGCACTTCCTGGTGGGGGCCCAGCTACAGGGAGGTTCTGGTGAAAAGCTGTGCCCTTTCATCTGCCCCTGTTCACCCTTACCTGAGCGAATCCACCCTCTGGCTGCCACAGCTACTGCCATCTTCTGGTTCCCTAGAACTCAGCCCCTTCTGCTTTCCATTGCGAAGACCAGTGGCTAACAGCACCTGAGACTGCTGAGGTATCCAGCCACTTGGACCGAGCAGCTTTTCGACAGCCCGATGTGCAAGAGCCAAGCATGATTCATGTAAGCTAACCAGATAAATTCCCAATTACCCCATATATATGTGTGTACACATATATAGGTGTTTATGCATGATTTATTCAATCAATTCTGATCCTCAAAGAATCCTAATATTCAAAGCATAAATGAGACCAACCCCCGAGCATCTGCTGCCCAAATGCAAGTGAACACATTACCTTTGAAGTGCTTTTTCTTCATATGATGCAAGTTGCTCTTTTCTAAATATAATTTGTTCTGAATTGGGGATTGATCAATTTTGCATCATTTTTACCCCCATCTGAAAACAATACATTGATCTGTAGATAATCAAACCCAGGGCCTTGTGCCTCACACATAACCCCTATCAATGAGCTACGCTTCAGCCTTACACTTCATATAACTTTAACCAGATGTAATGGTACATACTTTTGATAGCAGCAGCTTGAAGGATAAGCAGGAGGGTAGTTGCTTCTGGGCCAGTGAGGGCTACGTATAAAACATAAGCAAAACAATTTAAAGCTTATGTAAGTTTATACAAAACAACTTTAGTTTTGTATATATTTTATACTGTACAATTCACTGTTTCTCCCTCATAAATTATGCTTGGCAAGCTTTTAGCTCAGTTGATAAAGTTAGAGTAAAATATCCAACTTTCAGGGTTTTTTGTTTGTTTGTTTGTTTGTTTTTAAGGCAGGGTCTCACTATGTAGCTCTGGCTGCTTCTGTCTCCCAAGTGCTGGGATTAAAGGTGTGTGCCGCCATTCATGGTCCCCCAACTTTCTTTAGAAGATATAATTTTTAATTATGTGCATCTAAGTGGGTATGAGCATGGGTGCAGATGCCTGAGGAGGCCAGAGGAGGGCGTTAGATCCCTCAAGCAGGAGTTACAGGTAGTGTAAGCCACCTGACATGGGATCCTCTGCAAGAACAGTATGTGCTCTTCTCAGCTAAGACACCTGTCTGGCCTAATAACAGCTTTCATCTCAAATTCCTATGCTTTAGTTTTTCCCGCTACTTGGCTGAGTGTTCAGCCTCAATCATCACTGAATACTCTTCCATATGTGAAATCCTAATTTTACTTTTTATAAGGAATGCACAGGTGTGCAGTTTGCTCTAATAGTTAGCCCCGATCATAACTGATTTACTTGAGGTGTAATGCTTAGGAACACATGCCCACCGGAAATGTGCCCTGGGATCTTTTCAGATAGATGGAAAAACTTAACTATACTACTTCAGATGTGAGACAAGGTGATCTGCAGTGAAATGGGAAATGACCAGGAAAAAAATTGAGAATTCACAATGCAAAAATTGCAAAGTTTATTTTCTTAAATAAAATACTATATCCATATCCATACAAATAATTATTACAACCATTAAAATGTTACATTTAACAATAAAAATTTCAAAACTTTAAACAAGAGCATGTTTTGGAATATTCACATCCTAATACAATGTATTTGTAAAAAGATGTCAAAATAAACAGGACCTATTCTTATTTACAACTGTAGGACAATCCTGATCCTATTATACATATCTGCTCTGTATTCCATTACAAAACAAATTAGTTTCCATTAGAATTATAAACCAAGTGGTTTACAGTTATAGGACACAGTGCACAGAAGACTGCTGCCTGTCACAGGTACACAGATTACACTACTGAAGCACTAAAATTCGTGTTTTCCTGGTGCTTGCCGACAGTAAGCATCACAACCAGTGTATCTATAAATAATCTGTGAAAGTAATCATGTTCTCCTCAATTTTCAACCTTTTAAAAAAATCAAAATGCACACACACACATGCACACGCACATGCGCGCACACACACAGACACAACCTGCTGAAAGTGGAAGATCTTTCCTTCACACTAGCACAACTGCAGCATCTTAAGCAACACTGTCTGGTCCCTTCTTAGAAGCTCAACAGCCTGAAAATTTACCACTATCATCAAGCCCTGTGCCCAGTGACCTTACAGATGGAAATGACTTTAAGACTTTGGGAGCAGGGGGAAAGAGAGGTCTCAGAAAGAGTGAAGACAAAATTAAATGAGTCAACTTTAATTTCCTATTACAAACTGCATGGACAGCTGTATACACAACTTTTTTGTTTAAAAATGTGCTACAAGAGAGGTTTTGTCTATTTCTCATGAACTTTAATGACAGGCTGTGCATTCATCCAGAACAGCTTGCAGATCATGCCCAGTGTTCTCGCCTAAGCTGAGTTATGTTTATGATGCACCTGTCGACATATGTGTGACCCCCCTCCCCACAAAAACAATTACCGGGTAGAGTTTATGCCAACATGGAAATGAGGATGTGGAAGGACGGCCTGCCTCACATGCTCAGGTACAGGTTCAGCTACACAACTTGCTAACTACTTTGTCAACGATGGCTCAGAGGCGGTAAGGCAAGAGTGAGAAGCATCGGCCACACTGATCATCTAGGAGGTGTTTGGTCACACGGCATGTGCCATCCCTGTAGCTCCTTAGCTGCTTCACAGGGCCGGCTGGGTGACATGTTCTGGGATCTGGTCTCAGGAATCAGAGGCACAGTTTCAGGAAAAGGGCAGTGCCAGAACAGAGAGGTGTGGGGTCAGAACCAGAAACTCTGCCCAAGGTCCTCAGTGTTTCCCAGCTCACATGGACTGTCTCCATCTGAGCACTGTGAGCCCCATGGGAGCTACTAAGAACAGCTTAGATTTTACTATAGAATTCAGCACAGCACGAGCAGAATATAGAGTATAGTCAAGCAAAAAACAAGCAAGCAAACAAAACAAACCCACAAACAAACCCCTTGCTTTTTGGTAGAACTTTGGGAAAAGAAAACAAAATGCTGACATTCAGCCTGAAAGGCAACCCTAGAAAAAATTAATTTGCATATACACATTGCAAAACAACCACTCAGAGATTAAGTTCATACTAGTTTTTCTGGTCATTGGCTTATGGTTGCCCTCCAGATGTAACAGCCAAAGGCACACTTCTTCCAGTCAATCAGTACCTAGATGACAGACTTGGAGTGCCTTTCAGGCATTAAGATACAGTCTCAAAGTTATTCTATTTTGGTTCCTCCTCTAAGGGAGAAGTTTACCAACTTTAAACTAATGACATTTTGAGGAACTGTTGCTGTTTAAGAAAGAGGGACAGGGGTGGCCAATAGGTAAAACCTGGGACCTACTACTACACACTGATCTAATAGAGAAGATGGGCCCAACCACATTCCAACATGGAGGCATAACTGTCTCGTGGACAAAGCCAGGCTGCCTGCCATCGGCTTGATGTGGAACAGTTAAAAGAGAGCCAGAGCCTACACACCTGTGTGAAGGAATGGTCAAACCAGAAGCACAGCAACAGTCTCATTTTAATGTTTCCATTAAAATGTATGTCTACATTTTTTTTGAGTTTAAGTTTTAGCCTCTCCATGAGATGGCTAACGTTAGAAGGCAAGAGCAAGGCAAAAGAAGTTTCCTTAAAATGCGAAAAGGCTGATGGAAAAAGCTAACCTCCATTGCAGTTTAGCATAATTCTAACCAGTGTCTGGGGACTCCCAAGGCTGGAGTGTAGACCCCCAGCCTTCTGACATCACACCGCCACCACTGGGAATCCTGCCCTCCACTCTGACGGGGAGCAACTGCTGCCGTCTCAGAGCTGTGCTAGTGAAAACAGAAACAGAACTCCTGGAGAAATACAAGACTTAAAAAAACCCAGTGTCTATTAAAAACATTAAAATAGATTTATTTCATCTATAGTTGACATATTTAACAAGTTCATTTTAGTACACAAAGAGAAATCTAAGACTCTTCACTTCATTAGAATTTAACTTTGGAATGCCAAAGGAACGGAGCATGTTTGGCAATCCTGTATGATCAACAGTCAGAACAAAGTGAGCTAATCAATGACTCTCACGTAGGAGGCAGACATGATCTTGTGTACGTCCAGAAATTACAGTTATCTGTGGAAATGCTTTATAAAGTCATGTTAAAAGGTTAGGACAACATGAAACTTATAACCAAATTTGACTGCATTTTCTGTCATTACTTCAACAAAAGTTTTATCTTGATATTACCAGAAACCATTTAAGTTTCCTCCCCAAATCATTTAGCTTTAATTATTAACACTAATAAGAACGCAGACTTTTAAACCAAGTGCAAACTCTTTCTCATCTGAGTCCAGTGCTATCTCAGGACAGAGCTGAGCTGCAGACAACCAAATAACAATAACCCAAAGTATTAACAGGCTTAGGACTTAGTGCCGCAGTCACAAATGGAGCTTCTCTGCTGGGTGGTGGGGTGCACCTTGAGTCTAGCTACCTAGGAGGCTGAGGTGTAAGTTCTGCTTAAGCCCAGGAATTCAGGGTCAGTCTGGACAACAGAGCAAGATTCCTGTCTCAGAAACACAACACAAAACTGGAGTTTCTCCATAGCATGAAACCTTGGTTCCAATAACACAAGCCTGCGCTTCTGAACTCAAGAGTCATCATGATGTAAGGACGCATGTGTGAAAGACGGCCACTAAGAGAAGCGGGGAAGGAGGAGGAATGGCCATACACAACACTACCCTTAATGAACTTGGCAAACTGGGCCTCCAAGTACAAAGAACACTATGAATATTAATGCTTAAAGCAATTCATAAATGTTTCTTTCTCCTCAGAATCCTTTCTATTGTGGTGTTCATGAGTTAAGTAATGCAACTGTGAAGTTCTCCCCCCAGGAACACTATGTGGGAGGAAACACGGGTTTGCTCTGTTCACCAGGAAGGGTGATTTTCGGGCAACAGAAACTGACAAGGCACAAGCAGCCCTTTGCTGGGCCCTTAGACAGGCATTCAGTGGCGACTGCTCTGACCAGGGCTCTGACAAAATGAAAACAAACTGAAGGAAAAAACCCAAACCCTCTGTGGTCCTTGGGCTCGCTTCTACTAAGCCATCTCTGCATCTGTCCTTCTCTCTCCATTCAGTTTTTACCAGAATGGAGCAACAATTGAAGCTACGAGTTTAAATGGTTTTGAAAAAAGTTCAGTACATAAATTTTTTTTCTTAGTTTTATGTTCTCAAGACTTAATATATGCTTTAAAATCCATTATTAATTCAGTGGTGTTAAAAAACATCTACAGCAGTACCCTTTTCCTCCTACCAAGTTGCCTTGTCCAACCTTGATATTAGGGTTTCTGCATGGTTTTATTGTAACGTGTTATGCAGTGTTGGGTTGATGTCCCTGGGAAGCCTGCCCCCTCCCCTTTTTGAGGGGAAATGGAGAAGTGGATCTGGAGGATCAGAGAGGTGGAGGAGGGGGGATGGGATGAATGGATGGAGGAGAAACTGCGGTTGGGATGTAATATATGAGAGAATAACAATATTAATAATAATCTTTAAAAAAAATTACAGCATGCTTTAGAGCAGGGGTTCTCAACCTGTGGGGGCTCAAATAACCTTTCACGGGGTTGCCTAAGACTCCCGGAAAACACAGATATTTACATTATGATTCATAACAGTAGCAAAGTTGCAGTTATGAAGTAGCAATGAAAATAATTTTATGTTTGGGGGTCACCACAGCATGAGGAACACAGTATTAAGGGTCGCGTTAGGAAGGTTGAGAACCACTGCTGTAGAGCAAGCCTCAATTTCCCATTTGTAGATGGCAGTTCTACTGTCTTTTCCAATCTGTCCACTTTTAATTGAGACAAGACTATGCCTATTTACCATGTACAACATGATCTGCATCTCCAATAGCAAGGACAGGCTAGACTTGGGAACCCGCTTTCACATGCACTCACACTCATAAACTCAGATACACATAGAGAATGTGTTTTTGTGAAGCACCATTTCATACCTACAAGAAAAATAATGAATTCATTTTCTTATTATAATTGTTATGAAGAACAATAATGCAATTTACAATGCAATATTTAATATAAATAATCAATAAATGAAAATACTGAGACAGCTTAAACCCCTATTCAGAAGTATCTGAAAAGGCTCAAATGTGTCTTCTAAACACAGTATTCACTGAGCAGTTCTAATATTTAAATGATTGTAAATTAATTTATTTCAAGACCAAATAAATAGAATGAAGAGAGAATACTACATCAACTCAACTGATGAAGTACTAATCACTAGTGACCCTAGGAAAAGCCACAATACAATGTCTGTTATTCTTTGGCCTAATGCAAAACCCAAGTACTAAGTGGAAAACATTTCTGTATTTTGTCTTAGCTTTGTAATTTTAAGGCTCATTGTCTAAGGAAGACTTTTACTTTCCATGATCTTGGCACATTAAAGGATAATGTGGCTCTCTATTTTGAAGAACAAGACATGAAATTTAGGTAGTTTATTAAAATTATAATTAAGAAATAAGTCTCTGTAACCAATTTCAGGAGTCAAACACTTCATATATTTTTTTTCTGCTTGATTTTATGTATGGGAATTTAGCCCACTATCAATTTATCACCTGCCATGGCTGAGAACTGTTAGGTGTTGACATCATTGAGTGATGAGTCATGTTTTTTCAAGTTGCTTTTACTTTTGGATTTGCAACCCAACCATCTCAACTATCTATCTTACAACTTAACAATAACTGAGTTTAGAATCTCAACTCCTTCCTACCATCCAGCATGTGCCAAGATCTCTTCAACTTCTTGTTGGTTAGTACTTAGGGAATAAAAGATTACAAGTCAAACTTGGAAAGGTATATCATTTAGATGATCAAAGAAAGCACATCACTCAGAAATAAGAGGTGATTGTTTTGACAACCCCGGTGTATGCATCCTCTCTGACATGGCTCCCTTATAATCAGAAGCTAACAGAAAAATGGTTATCCAAAACAAAGACACATACCTACACAAACTCCCTCAATGCACATGTGTACATAGAAGAACAGCTGTCAACTCAATCCAAACCTTTGCATTTAGTCTCTCTGGATTTAAACAGCTGAGCTGCAATCATGACCTAAGATATGGCTTATGTTGTGAGCAGGTCTGTTTGAAGACTGCTTGGAGGAGTCAGAAGCAGAGGAATTTGCTATGGTGAGCAAAGGTGACATCGCTGAGCCATCAGGAAGAGCTGTTGCTATTTCCGGAAACAATGATGTCATATTGAAATTGGATAGGTGAGAGTTGGCCATATGCATTGGCGGCATCTCAGGGAGAAGGGGAAAGCTTGGCTGAGCGAAGCCAACAGGTCTGGGAGGAGATAAAATGGATCCAAATCGGTTGTTTAAACTTCCACTGTTTACTTTCTCTGTGCTAGGATTGGAGAACATTTGATTAGAAAAATAAGGGATTGAAATGTCATTGGACAGGGTAGGATGAGCAGGAGAATAGGGGGGGTAGAAGGAAGGTAGAGTGTTTTGGGGATCTACTGGGATGAGAGCTGGAGTTCGTGTGGCACTAGGCTGGGTAACCTGTGGAATGAAGGAAGTATTCGCATTTATTGGTGGATTCATGCCACCCTCGGGAATAAAAGGGAAACCAAAATTTTGTGACAGCGTATGCTGGTCAGGACCTGAATTATCGTTAGGGACTTGTGGACTCTCGGGCATAAAACGAACAATACCCCCTCTCTTTTCTGCAGCAGGTTGCTGACGTCCAAGAATCATGCTACCGCCAGCAGGGAGAGGAAGGTGAGGAAGACTTGGATCAAAGACACTACTGTGCCTTTGATTTCCAGATCGATTCCTTTCAGGTTGGCGGATTTTGGAACCACTGCTGTCTTGCAGGGGATGTCTTGACCTCTGGGCAACTGAAGAGTTAGCCTGACGTACAGGAGGCCCTTGGTCAGCATTTCCATGAGACACAGATGGGTGTGGCAAAGTTGGCCTTGCAACCCCATGCATGTTGGATGTGACCGGAGGAGGGTTCATGTGGCTCTTGGTCCCATGACTGTCAGTAATCCTCATGGGATTGGACTTCTGTACAGAAACATTGGGACTTGTGTTTCGACCTTGAATATCTCCTGAGGAAGAGGAACTTGAAAATGGAATATTCAAGGTGCTGTTCCTGGTGTTAATTGCACCTAAAGACATGTCACAACTCTCCCTATTCTGACTTTCACTCTCTCTTCTAATATGAACACTTTCACGGGTTGGGGGACAATTATATTCAATTGTTGAAGATGGACCACATTGTGTATTCCTTGGATGTTCTGAGAGTGACCTTTGGCTCCCAATGACCTGGTCACCAAGGTGAGGAGCAAGTAAACTCTGCATGAAACTCTGGTGACATGTGTTCTCACTGTCCCTTGGTGGGACAGCATTTCCTGCCGGGACACTTTGAACTGGTGGATAAGATAACCGCTTTTGTCGGTCAATTGGTGGTGGGCCAGTGTTCTGACTGATTCGAAAAGCCTGTGACTGCATACTTCTTAGTGACGGCAGAGGGTTACCTATTTCATTATTTCTTGAAGACTGTACTTCAAAATTACTCTGGGGCTGTTGGCTGGCTCCAGATGGCTTGAATGTCTGACAATCTGGAAGAGGGACTGCATGGTCCATGCGACCCTGCATATTATGAAGTGCCAAGCTTTTATTTCTGGGAACATCAATATAACTTCTCATTTCAAGCTGATCTGAAACCCTTGAACCCTGAATCGACATGCCCATTCTCTGTTCCGAAGTTGAAGATGACTTTCCAATGAGAGCCTCAGCAGAGTAACTGGACACTCGGTTTCTCTCTGGCCTGTGTGGAGCACAGGTCATGTCTGAAGACCTAGTCACGATACTGGGTTGGGACACCATTTGCTGCTCTAAGCCTCTTGGCGGCAAAAGCCTCTGCATTGGATTATGACCGGATACATGATCAGAAGAAACCGCTGAACCCTGCTGTCTGCTTCCAACATCTTGTTGCTGGTGCAGAATCTCTTGACTGATATGGTTCTGGGCATGGTTATGGTGGCCCCGGCCAGTTGAAGAGTTTTCACAGCTCTTCTCTGGCTGGGAACTTGCAAAGTGTTGCTGCATCTGTTGCTGCATCTGTTGATGGTGAGGATGTGGCTGACTACTCTTGGGTCTCGACTGGTCAGTCCCATGGTGTTTTGGTTGTAAGGACAGCTGAGAGGCAGGAGTGCCCTGAACGAGATTTCTCTTCTTCTGCATCTGAACTTCCTGTTGTAGAGTTCTCTGCTGGTGCACAATATGAGGTTGGGAGTGGACAGCACTGTCTGCATGAGGCACATGATGCTGCAGCTGATATAAGTGATGCCTCTCTCTTAACTGCCCTGCTTGCTGCTGCTGCTGTTGCTGCTGCTGTTTGATATAGAGATGATTGGTGTGAAGGTGAGACACCGCTTGAGCTGGTACATGCTGCTGCAGGGCCTGCAGATGTTGACTTGCCTGAGTTTGTTGCTGTTGCTCTGCAACTGGAGGCTGAGAACCACACTGAACTTCAGTCTGCCTCAATGCAGGTGCCACAAAGTTGTTACCAGGAGGGAATAGCCGTGTAAGGCCGTCTCCATGAGCTGGGTTGCTAGCAGGAACAACTGAGTTTGAAGAGTTGGTGGGAATCTGACTCCCCATCATTTGAGTTTGATCAGGAATGCTTTCTGGAGTCCGGCTCATCAGGGGCATACTTTCAAGCCTCAGAGGGGCTGGCTGACAGTGCTTTTGCCGTTTGACTGAAGACAGTAGAAGATCATCTTGTACAGCGCGCTTTGCAGAATCTTTCCGGCTCTCTTGACTTGGCTTTGAGCGGGGCTCTGGAGCCTGTGGATTTGGTACAGCACTACTCATGTTGCTCAGCTGTTCCTGGGGATAGTCTGTCATCAGAGGTGGTGCAGGAGGCTGGCTGCTATAAGAGCTGGATACAACAGGCATATTAACAGTTACAGGAATAGATGTTTGCTCGGAAGTCTGCGATAACCCCGTGCAGCTGACCAGAGGGTGGCTGACGTTACTCTGATGGACAAGATTATTCACACTTAAACTGGTCAGACTTGGTGGCTGAGAGGCTGGCACCTGCAAGGAGGCATTTGATGATTTAATTCCCAGAGAACAGCTCGATTTTTCGAGAGGCCTATTGACTGTGACTTCCACTGAATCCTGAGAGTTAAATTCATTTGGTGTTGCATCTGCCTGTCCTGTGCAAGGTTCCTTACGGATCTGTGTTTTAAAAGGCTGTTCTCCCTCTAAAGAGGTTTCAGAAGACTTGGAAGTAACCTCCCTCATCTCAGTCTGTGTGCCAACCCTTCCCTTCTCAGTGTTCTCCTGGTCCAAAATAGCTCTTGCTGCCAGGGCTACAATATCAGTTTGCTCTGCAAAGGTACAGCTGTCACATGTGTTAGCTGTTGTACTGCTGGTCACATCTTCGCGAGCTGTTTCGGGAAGCATGGATGCAACCGAGAAACTACGACTACTGCCAGAGCTTGTTGACATAGGAGAGTCAGCTTGCCTACTGGTGAGCAAAGAACCATTAATAACCTCTTGATCTGGGAGACAGGAGTGGTGCTGTGGAGGATCTCTGTCCTCGTTTATCAGTAACAGTTCCTGCTTGGGATGCAGATCAACATTAGAATCACCTATCTTAGAATTATCTGGAGAAAAATCTGGATGATCCATCTGAACAGAAAGAGATGGTTTCTGAAGGTCTTTTTCTTTAGTAAGATCAGATAGCAGCATTGTTAGACCTTGCCCCTTTAAAGGTCCTGCTGCTTGCATGGTGTCCAGTGAATCCTGCTGAATGGGGCAAGGTTCTGCCACAATTTCTACTTCAGAAATACAGTCAGCACTTGAAGTGCTTGTAGTGGATGACATACCAGAAACCTGAGAAACCAAAATCTGGGATTCGATAGGAGATGGACTCAACACATTGGCTGAAGTACAGGAGTTTGTAGCACTGGACAATGCTACAGTAGTTGGTGGTGTGCCCTGAGATGTCTCTTGCAAGATGGGAGGAGAATCTTTGGATTTTGCTGGGGCCACTGCAAACTGTTCGTTTGTTTCTGATTCTTGGGAGGATGAGCTACAGTCCCCTGCTGACTTAGGTTTGGACACAGACTCGGGGATTACTGATTCAGAATTCAGAATGTCCAAAGAATGTGAAGCAGAAATACTAACACTCTTTGCCTGGGACACAGCAACAGATGGGAGGCCAACAGGGAGGCTGTCCAGCAGTCCATCATTACACGATGGTTCTGCTGAACTGTCTGTTCTGGGACCCTCTAGCTTGCCCACATCTCTGACTGAATTCAGGGGACATGCTGGCTTGTTAGCTGCTAAGTGTTTCTTGGCACCTGGCTTCTTGTTCGGTCTTTTTGATTTCATGGTAGAGGGCAAACAAGTGACGGTGTTTGCTGAGGAAGCTGTGGCAAGACTGTACGTACTGGGTAGTGTGGCTGAATTATCTGCTGTCATGGTAGGTGCTACAGTGGTTAGTGACACACAGTTAGCTGGGCTGGGCTGACTGTTTGCAGAAGTCTGAGAATTAGCAGACTGGCTAATAGATAATTGTACACAGCTTTGCCCAGCCATCTGCGATATGCTTTGATTGAGGCTGGCCAAAGCCCCAAATGTGTTCAGGGCAACATTGGTATTTGGATCTTCGCTGGTGGTAGGTTGAATAATTTGCATAGGGCTTTGATTTGTAGTTCCTGATGAAGACATGACAGGTTGCAAAGCAAAGAGCTGCCCATTTAAAGAAATGGTTTGAGGCTGCTGTTGGTTTGACATGGTGACAGAAAAAGTTTGGGTTGAAGTAGATGTGGATAAAGATGAAGGTCTTGGTAATATGTGCACAAGATGCTTTCCTCCAAAAGTCTGCGGGGCTGGCACATTTTGCACTGAATTATGAGACCCTATTATAGCACTGGCTCCATTAACAGGAAGTCGAACAGGACCAGGATGGGGAGCAGAGAGGAGTGGCAATGGGTTCTGATTGGCTGCCTGTATGATGACAATCTGTTGACCTACTGTTTGGTTGGGAACCTCTGCCCTCATCATTGCTGGGCACGGGGTTGTGCTGGGTGGCTGAAGAATGATAACATTTTGGTTACCTGGAGCCGCAGTGACAGCTGACCCAACTGGCTGAGCCATCTGAATCACTTGCATTGTTGAATTCAAGGGAAGGATATTTTTTGGAGGCTGAGATTTAACTTGTGGCTGGGCAATTGGTGGCTGCATAGGTAAGGGTGGACACGAAGGCAAAGTGACCACTACTTGCTCAATTGGCGGCCCATCTGCTGGAAGGGAATTATTTAAAGTGATGGCTGTAGCCACACGGTTATGGAGGCTTGGGGTAGAGTTGGTATCAGACTCATTTAATACTGGAGTCACAGCAGAAGATGGTGTCTGGCTTAAAGGCTGAATAGTGTTTCCAGCCATTTGCAAAGTAGTCCATGTTGTCTGTGTGTTTCCAGCCGAAGAGATACGGGTAAGGCTATTGATGTTTTTCAAATCTGAAGCACTAACACTTGAAGAAGGCAAAGAACAAGAAAGAGTCCAACTACTGTCCAAAGGATTTGCAGAAAGACTGCTCACTGGGAGGGTGGTCTTCACTACTCTGGTGGGAGCTGGTGCCACCACTGTCGTTGTAGCTGTTGAGTCTGCTGCCTTGCAAATGCTCACCAGAGAAGAATCACCTGTAGACCTGGGAGGGCCAGGGCTTACTGTGGTGGTAACGGACACAACAATGGTGTTCTGCAAATCTCCACTGAACTCCTGCACACTCGGGCCAGATCTAGTTCCATGATGCACTTTAGAGGCAATTGCTGAGCTGCTGGAGGAGGAGGTGCTTGTGACACACACAACTGTTTGCTTTGATGATTTAGGGCTCTCTTGCCCATTGCTATTTTCTGAAGCATTTTGATCATTTAGGCATGTGTGCAAGGAACGATGTTGGTGAGGGTCAGGGCCAACTGAAACAGTGATCAGTGAGCCACCAGTGGCACCAAGCACACTTGATTGGCTTTCGGAAGTAGAAAGTTCGAGAATATTTTGAGCAGAAATGGCAGTGGGAAGACAAAGGGGAACAGGCTGGTTGGCAGCCAGCGCAGACACTGTAGTCTGATGCCACGGCTTGTTTTCAGAAGGGTAAACTCCAGAAATAGACACAGGAGTCACAAGCTTGCAGGTCCTCTGCACTGGCACCACGTTGGCGGTCTGCTTTTGCAAGCTGTGACCAACATTAAAGGTTATTCCCTGAACGGCTGTCCCCTGGCTGTTTCCCGCAGGCTGGCTCCCATTGGAATAAACAATGATATTTTTCTGGACCTGGTCACTCGGAATAACAACAGATACCTTTGAGTTTTTCAGATTTCCTTTCCAGTGGATTGTGGGGTCATCATATAAACATATGTCATTTGCTTTCAATAATTCAATATATCGGCCATTTTCTTTTTGGATTTCTTCCAGTTGTTTTCGTAGCTTTTTAATTTCTTCAGCTAAAATATTAGAAATGAAGATGTAAAATTACTGGTGAATGTCAGTGATTATAACAACTTAAGCAAAAATATATGTGCTAAGCCACTAATTCCAGTTCTAGCCTTGAAAGGCCTTAGCAGAACCATGGGCTCTCTGCTGCTGAGGTTTTCTCCTAAGAATGACACCCCACGCCTTCTTTATATACCTTTAAACTATACCTTTAAAGGTCAACCACTAAAAATCTCCTAAAGTGTACAAGTCTCAACATTCTCAATCCAAAATTTCCCAGTAGCATAGATAGCTAACAGATGAAACAGGGGAATACAGGCTCATTCCTGGGAACATGCCTTTGATAAGCTGAAAGCTCTTTGCTCAGGGCTCTCTCTAAGTTCAGGGTTACCACAACTGACAGGCCTCTTAAATTGAATGATACAGAATGCAAAGGTTACATCTGAGCTGAACAGGCTTCAGCCTGATGTAGTAGCCCAAGGGTGGCCAGAATGTAATAGATATCCTCACAGCTACCCATGAATGACACTTGTTTTATTATCAAAACTGATTGGTATAATTCTTAATTCTGCTAATGTCCCATCTGACTAACAAACCAGGTTAAAACCATGTTAGACACTATCATCCCTTTCGGCAAAGAGCTTTGGAATGGGACCTCAGGATTTTCAGAGTTGGATCTTGTGTGCTGCAGGGGTCCACAGGTGTGAGTACTATTCCACCTTGACTAAAGGTCAGAGAGTTTAAGCTTATTTTTACTCTTTCAAAGTTGTTGACAACAGGTGTGGCTACAAACAAGAGATTCTGACCTAGGGTGTGGTTACTTGGTGTTTTGAACATTATGAAGGTGTTTTGAACATTACAGAGGTAGATCTGCTCCATTCTGACCAAAGGTCAGAGAATTCAAGCCTATTCCTGCTCCTTCATTTTAAATAGGAGGTTTGACATAGAGAGTAGCTGCCTACAGGATACTTGGCCTAGGGTGTATTCACTGCATATCCTGCCCAAAACATCAGAATGCTTAACTCAGGAAATGGTGGCTTGATGTCTCAAGTATTGAAGCAAATAACTGTTCTGGTTACACTTTGTGTCCTGTTAAAACAGTCTTTTGCCTTCTTCCCCTCCCCCTTTTGTATTGGGGTATATAAAGTATGAAAAATAAATGCAGGTGGATTCAGTATTCACTAAGTTGCTATCCCAGTGCTGCCCTGTGTCTCTGCATTTCTTTTGTATCTCTGTCTATTCTGTCTAACATTTCTAGTCCACATACTCCTACCCTGGAACGTACAAACCCATTGTGGCTGGACCATGAAAGATGTCACTTCAACATGTGGCTTATGACAGTGTACTTAATTATCTTAATTTTTTCTCCTCTTGTTTACAGTCAATCCATCCTCAGACAGTACTGCAGCAATCCTAACTTCATATAGCTCAAAGTCAGCAAGAACAGAAACCTTAAATTATTCTAACCACTGCAGTCCAAACAAAGTAGCCAGACTAACTAGATGTCTAACTCCTAAATGACTTTAGGGGCTCATCTCTTGAGGAGGTAATGTGAAGCAGGTAGATAGATATTAGCATATTTGGAGGTCATTGGGATGAGCCTCTCACTCATAATCAACAGCTTATTTATTTATTTATTTTTTGGGTTTTTGATACAAAGTTTCTTTCTTTCTCCATGGACAGCCTTGGCTATCCAGGAACTTGTCTGTAGACCAGGCTAGCCTTGAACTCACAGAAATTCACCTGCTTCTGCCTCCCGATTGCTAGGATTAAAGGCATGCACCACCATCACCCAGCTAATCAATAGTTTTTAAACCAAGGACCAGAACTGCAGGACTCTGATTACTGGCCAAAGAAATGGGCAGATCTCTAGTACTAGGTAAAGAAGTGACATTCTGAAGTGACTGGAAGGTCACTACTAAATTATAATATTATATATAATCATGTTATATATATTATATTACTCTCTGTGTGTGTGTGTGCATGTGTGTGTGTGTGTGTGTGTGTGTATGCATGTAAACCTTATAAGATTCCTATCTGGCTAGAAGCTTTCTGACAAAGCATACCATTGTCCCATTAGGAGTCTATTAAAAACTCTTCTGGACAGAATTATGCTCTAAAACAAAAGCTGTCTCCCCTACAGACTTTATTATAAAGCCTGCCTGAAACACAGCTCGGCACAGCACTCTCTGACACTGTCTGTCCTCTGCTCTGCATTAAATAAAATCAACTATTTTCTACCAAAACAACAACAACAACAACAACAACAAAATGTGGGGGTCAGAGAGTGGATAGAAAATAGCACAAAAAGAACCAGAGAAACAAAGATCACAACAGAGATGACAAAAGAGCCAGAGGAGGCTGCTTCAGGCTCTGCCCCACCCTGGCCTTTCCCAAGCCCTGTGCATCTGGTATTTTTTCATTAGCTTCCCTTTTCTCTAAGGTAACATGACTGTTTGGCTTAGCTTCTGTGCTCTGAGTCAAAGGTGCTATCATGGGAAAAGTCTATGGATCATTCTGGCCTTCAGAGCATCTTAAGGGGTGCGTCACAATGTTCCCAAACATCAATATATCTAACTACCAGCTGTAACAACCCATGAGGGTTTAAACCATCACAAGAGGGCTGACTGAGGAAAGCAACTGTTTAACTGAATGTAAGGAAGAATCGAATGCTGGCCTCCCAGACATGGCTTCCAAAACCATTCTTGCCCATTACAGGCAGCATAGCAGAACACATCCAACTTTAGTAAAACGTTATTCCTTTTAAGGTGGTGTTATGATTTCAGCCACCATATGGCTGACACTTCCGGGTTCCAGGGCCATGCATGTGCTGACAAGCCCTCAGGCATGACCCACATGTGGCATGGTTGCATCACCTACATTTGACACAGCTGCATGAGTCCTTGTGTGCATGCATGAGCGTCATCATCTGATTCTGATATAACCAGGTTATCCCCCTGTATGCATGTGCTAGGCAGCCCTTAAAAGCTGGATGCGCCATCTTCAGCGTGCTCTCTCTCGCTCTCTCTCTCGCTCTCTCTCTCTCTGCACACCGAACTTCACCAGGCCTGCACACACACTCCCCAATAAACTCCAAAGTGGGTTTGTTGTGTGTTCCATGTTTCCTTCTCACTCACACCAGGTAATTTCAGGTGGTCTACTAGGTTCTTTTCAGAACCACAGTAAGTGGCCACTCCACAGTCTTCTACCCTGCAGTGTGTCTCCTTTCAGCTTCTCTCCAATACTGTGGGAAAAATCCAAACCCACAGCAAGAAAGTTACGACTAAAAATCAAACATTGTTAAATGACCTGGAAGTTCAATATATACTTTATATTGATATAAACAATTATGAAATGAATATTTTGGTTCTCTAAGTCAATACATTGTTAAAACTTAGCCCATATTGACCCTCTGATTTTGTTTATAGGTCACACTGGGCAGAACTCCTTTATGAGTCAGAGCCTTGTGATAGTTTCCTAACTGCAAGACCCAAGTGGACAAAGGAGATTGAACACTATTAGCTTCATGACTTAGGCAAACATGAAACACACAGAAGTAATCAAAATTGAAGTTATGTATTTCTACAAGATGAAATTAACCAACCACAGAGGAGGAAGGAGTTCAGATACAATGATCTCATTTGCAATGCTATTCTCTTGGGTTCCTTGAAGGCTGGTCTATTTTGATTTGAGGGTTGGGGGAGCTTTTTATGTCCTCAAGTGCATGTTACTGCAACACAAACACCTAAGCATAGTCTAACAAACAGGAGACAGCAAGATTCCACACAACTCTACCTTGTTCACTGTTCCCTCCGTTAAGAAGGAGTTCATCGTTTTGCCGCTTCAATTCTGTTATATACTTAAAGGCTTGGTCCAGGATCATGTTCTTGCTCTGCAAAAGAAAATTAAACATTTAAACATTTAATCAAGAGGTAAAAATCTTTGGACTTAAAGGTTTAAAAAAGATTTAAATAAAGAACACTTTGAGAAGTATAGGTATTAGCTCTTCTTTGAAATTCTGGTAGAATTCTGCACTGAAATCATCTGACCCTGAACATTCCTCCATTGCTGATGGGAATGCAAATTGTACAACCACTCTGAAAATCAGTATGGTAGTTTCTCAGAAAACTGGAAATCAACCTACTTCAGGACCCAGCAATACACTCTTGGACATAAACCCAAAAAATGCTCAATCATACTAGAAGGGCATTTGTTGATCTATGTTCATAGCAGCTTTATTTGTAATAGCCAGAACCTGGAAACAACCTAGATGCCTCTCAACCTAATAATGGATCATGAAAATGAGGCACATTTACACATTAGAGTACTACTCTGCAGTAAAAAACAATGACATCTTGAAATTTGCATGCAAATGGATGAAAATGGGAAAAAAAAACATCCTGAGTGAGGTAACTCAGACCCAGAAAGATGAACATGGCATGTACTTACTCATAAGTGGATGCTAGCTGTAAAGCAAAGGATACTGAGCCTATCATGATCCTAGAGAAGCTAAGTAACAAGATGAACCCTAAGAAAAACATACATAGATACACCTGGAAAGTGGAAATAGTCAAGATCACATGACAAAATTGGGAGCATGGGGGTGGGAGTAGAAGGGAGGGCAGAAGGGGAAGAGGAGGGAAGAGAAAGACTTGAGGGAATGGAATAGTCAAGATGGAAGAAGGACAAAGATGAGAGCAAAAAAAGAGATCTTTTGATTGAGATAGCCACTATGAGGCTAGCAAGAAACCTGGCACTAGAGAAATTCCCAGGAATACACAGGATGACCCCAGTTAAGACCCTAAGCAATAGAGGAGAGGGTATGTGAACTGGCCTTTCCCTGTAGTCAAATTGATGAATATCTTAAATATTACCACAGATCCTTCATCCAGCAACTGATAGAAACAGAGGCAAAGACCTGCAGCGGAGCATTGGGCTGAGCTCCCAAAGTCCAGTTGAAGAATGGGAGGAGTGAGAATATGAGCAAAGCGGTCAAGACCATGGGTACACCCACTGAAACAGTTTACATGAGCCAACTCCAGCCGGACAGGGAAGGAAACAGCATAGGTCCAAACTAGTCCCTCTGAATGTGGGTGACAGCTGTATGGCTGGGGCAGACTGTGGGGACACTGGCAGTGGCACCAGGATTTATCCCTACTGCTTGTACTGGCTTTTTGGGAACCTTTTCTCTCTGAATGGATACCTTGTTCAGCTTAGATATAGTAGGGATGACCTTGAACCTTCCCAAAGCAATGTGCCCTCTTTGAGGAATGGATGCGGGGTGGAGTGGAGAGGTAGGAGGGGGAAGTGGGAGGAGGAGAGTGGGTTAGTATGTAAAATGAAAAAAAGATAGTTTGTTTTAGTTTTAAAAAAATAATTAAATTTAAAAAAAAGATTTAAAAAGTAAGTGGAAGACCTGTATCCCAGGAGAACAGAACAGGAAGTGTACTCGGACCTTCACATGGGCATGTATACACACACACACACACACACACACACACACACACACACACACACGTATGCCTGCAAACACAATACAAATAAAGTCAAAATGCTTGGTTCCTAAAGAATGATAGCTAAAGTTGTCCTTTGGCCTCCACATGCATGCGCACACACACACAAAATTAGGTGAAAAGATTTTGCAGGATACACAGGAAGCAATACAAAGGAAAATCGAAGAGAACAAGGAAGGATCTTGGTGATGGTGGTATGTGGAAGATTTGGGTTCCTCTGTCAAATTTGTATGTACCACTTATAATCTGTAATGTGATGGTGTTTGGAGCTGAACTCTGAAAGGGCTCTACCTTCATGAATGGAATTAGCACCTCACAACAAGAAAGAGATGGTGAGATGGTTCAGCAGCTAAGAACACAGTCTGCTCTTGCAGATTAGCACCCGTTTATGATGAAGAGACAGGCTGGAAAGACGGCTTGGCAGTTAAGGTCACTTATTGTTCTAGCAGAAGATTTGGGTTTTGTTGGAGGAGGTCGCTTGCTCTTTTACCCTGCAAACAAGTGTTTCACAGCAGGGTTTGTTTCCCAGAACCCACACAGGGGCTGACAACTGTCTCTAACTCCAATAGCTTCAATAGTCTTTCTGGGTTCTTCAGTGTCCTACACATACAGATAAATAATGATTAACTGGTTTTTTAAAAAAATCAGTTTTTTTAAAGTGTGGTAATCTTTCTTTTTTTACCATGTGCGTACATAATTAGGACTAGATTTTTTTATTTTTAAAGATTTTTTATTTTTTAATTTTATTTCTGTCTTTATGTGGGTTTATGCACATGAATGCCCAAGTAGGACAGAGTTGTTGGATCCTGCTGGTCTGGAGTTGCAGGCACTGTGAGATGCCTGACAGTGGTGCTGGGAATTAAGCTGAGGTCCCATGCAAGAGTAGGTCCTACTTTTACCTGCTGAGCCATCTCTACAGCCCAAGGACTGGAATCTTCATTTTGGACTCCTCAGTCTCCATAACAGTGAGGTTAAGTGTTTTTGTAAAGTCACTGGATCTGTTATACTTTGTTACTCGAACAGGAGCCTGTACTAAGACACTCTGTTTTTCGAAATGGAAGCTTTGGGAAGGCCTCTCTGGAAAGGACAAAGTATATGCTGAGGCTCTCTGGAGGAAGAAGAACCAAGTCATGAGTGTTGGGGATCTCCAGCTCAGGGCCCCATTCCAAAGGCACACAAGCAGCAGCTCCCTGGAGCTGCCCTCTCCAGACCCCTCCCAAAGAAAGCCCATCAAGGGTCAGTTCCTCCCCTGGGGCTGCCCAAGACCACACATACAGGGTATTTAAGATCTGGTTGTCAGACCCACCGAGATTTTCTCTCCCGCCTTTCTGAGAGTCACCTGGGAGTTGCTTTGCTCTGTTCATTAAACCTGTACTTATTAATTTGGCTTGATTGGCTTACTGCATCGGTGGAGGATACTCAATAACCAGGGATCCATACTTATCAATGGGGTCAAAAAGCAAAGGCACTTAGGCAGGGTTGACCTTGATTTATTTGTATTTTAATAAATAAAGTTTGCCTGAAGATCAGAATGCAAAGCTAAGCCACTAGAGGCCAGGGAGTGGTGGCACACACCTTTAATTCCAGGGAGACAGAGGTGGGTGGATCTCCCTGAGCTACACAAAATCAATCCAGAAACAGATCCAGGTGGTAGTAGCTCACACCTTTAATCCCAGTGTTTGAGAATCACACACCTTTAATCCCAGCAGTAGGGAGGTAGAGACAGGAGCGATATGGCTGGAATATAAAGGGGAAGACACAGGAACTCACTGGAGTGTGGAGACTGAGGTTTGGTGGAGATACAGTGCAGTCTAGGCAGCCTGAGGATCACCCCTTAGGTCTGAGCACTGGTAGGTGTAAAAGGTCTCTCTAGTAGCGTACGGCTCTGCTTCTCTGATCTTTCAGCTTTAGCCCCTGTATCTGTCTCTGGGTGTTTATTTTTCATGCTAGACTTGTGTGTGAAGACAGGAATGGTTGATGAGGCATATTGTAAAGATTGAAGAAGGGGTCACAGAAGGTCTTCAAGACTGTGTCAAAGGTCAGATTTCAGATTATTCTCTACAACCTCAAGTGTCCTAAAGAATGGGCTGAGAAGGGATATTTCTACACTTTTTTAAAGGCTAAATTTTTACATTAAAGCATGCTTTTATTCTTAAATTTTTTGATGATTTATTTTATATTTCCAATTACGTGTATATGTGTGTGTTTATGTGGGAGAAAACGCTGTGTGCAGGTGCCTACAGAGTTCAGAAGAAAAGGATACTGTATCCCTTGGAGATGGAGTCACAGGTCGTTGTGAGCTACCTGACATGAGTGCTGGGAACAGAACTGGAGTCTTCTCCAAGAGCAATATGGTATCTCACTAGTGCCACAGTCGTAATAAACTTTAGAACTGAAAACATAATGTGGGGGTTGGAAGATGGTTCAGCCACTAAAGCGCTTGCCATGCAAGCATGACAACCTGAGTTCTGATCACCAGCATGGGGCATGGTAGATACTGTCTGAAGTCTTAGTACTGGGAGACAGAGACAGATAGATCTCTGGAAATCATTGGTTAGTCAGTTTAGCTGAGTCACTGAACTCCGGGTTCAGCGCGAGAGCAATTCTCAAAAAAGTAAGGTGGAAAGCAATCTAGGAAGACAGCTAACATTGACCTATGGCTTCTACATGCAAGTGCATGTATACACACACACAAACACATAAACACACACATCACATAAAAATACACATACAAAGAACAAAAACATGTGCATATGGCAAAAATGTAAAAAAAATCTCTATGAACTTGCTCTCCATATCCAATCCCAGAAACAATCTTTGTGAAGTATGCATATCCTTCCAGAAATAATCTATGCCATTATGTTCTTTGAAAGCCCAGACATGGCTGCTGGGGAGGTGGCTCAGTGGATAGCAGAGCTCTCTCTACAAGCATGAGGACCTGAGTTTGGATCCCCAGCATCCATGTGTGTGTGCCTGCAACCCCATTGCTGAGGGTGGGAAGCAGAAACTACAAGATTGCTGGGGTTTGCTGGTTGCCAGCCTTGACAAAAACAAAACAAACAAAATCCGAATAACAACAAAACAAACAAGCTCCAGTGAGACAGGAGAGATCTCTCAGTGAGAGATCCTGTCTCAAAGGAATAAGGTGGAGCACAAAGGAGGACACCCAAGGACCTCCTCTGGTCGGGCACCTGCGTATATGTACACATCTACACCTCCACCTCCACTGTCTTCTCTCTCTCTCTCTCTCTCTCTCTCTCTCTCTCTCTCTCTCTCTCT